TTGTTGTAACTCCGAATTCACTTTGCCGCTATATCTCCGCTGACATCTGCCAAGCTAATAGTGTGAATCACTTAAAAAGTACACAAATAAAATCTTGGAAATGTGAAGAAGTTTAAAAGGACGGTGCATAAAAAAAAATGGTGCTTTTTCGATGTTCGTGATTTTGAAAAGTCACTCTTAATTTTATTAATGTGCCCAAAAAAATTGTAACATATCAATGTATTTTTTAAATGTAATTGGAGATTACGTAATCGCTAATTATATGACGTAGTGTGTGCCTCCCCGACAGCAGGCTGCCGTGCTTCACCACCATCTTTCTGCTGCGGACATGCGAAGAAGATAAATTGAGCGAACGTTGTTTCCTGAACATCATGACTGCAACATGTGTAACAAATGCAATGCATTTACTCTGCCACTTGAGGGAAGCCTTGAAGTCATTTGGGATGACATTTTGTTTGGACCTCGACAGAAGAGAAATTGGTGGTAGGCTTCTGAGTGGTGGTCCCTGTGACGCACTGTACAGTGCACGTGCTTCAAATGATATGCACTTTCAAGCTCCGGTCATTGCGTTCTAGTTCTTCACCACGAGGTGGCACTAAATTCGACACGCTGCACTTTTAAAAAAACAACAGCCGGAAAGACTCCCTATTCATTCTCCATCTATCCATCCATCCATTTTCTGATCTACTTTATCCTCACAAGGGTCGTGGAGCCCATCCCAGCTGTCTTCGGACAGTAGGCGAGGGACACCCTGAACCGGTTGCCAGCCAATCGCAGCGCACACAGAGACGAACAATGATCCGCACTCACACTCACATCTGTGGACAAATTAGAGTGTTTAATCAGCCTGCCATGCATGTTTTCGGAATGTGTGAGGAAACCGGAGTACCTGCAGAAAACCCACGCAGGCCCGGGGAGAGCATGCAAACTCCACACAGGAAGGCCGGAGCCGGGATCGAACCCACGACCTCTGCACTGTGATGTCGACGCGCTCGAACCCACGACCTCTGCACTGTGAGGTCGACGCGCTAACCACTGGACCACCATTTTCTATACCCGAATATGACTAACCAGATCCTAGCGGGTTATAGCTTTGGAGTAATACTTTATTTGAAGATTTAATTAATAATTATTAAATGTGAGAACATACTATGTGATCGCAATGTATGCAATGGGAAAGTACAGTACAGTATAACGTGTATAAATGTAATTTCAGTGTTTAGTCAAAAGCATCTGCTACCACTGACTGAGTGACTCATAGCCCACAGCTGTCCCTGCAAGTGTGTGTGTGTATATCTGTGTGTGTATGTGTGTGTGTGTGTGTGTGTGTGTGTGCGTGCATGCGTGCGTGCGTGCGCGTGTGTGTGTATGCGCGCGTGTGTGTGCAGCATGTGCATGTGTATATTGTGTGCATGTGTCCATCCTGTGCTCTGTTTAGTCTTTCAGGCTCCACATCCAGCTAGTTGTCTCATGCAGCCCAATAATGACTTTCACTGGGAAAATACAGCCTTGTCACGGTGGATCATTTCACTCAACGACAACAAATCAGACTGATATGAAAAGGAATTTATGAAGAACTTCACTTGTACGCAGAGAGCACTTGATGAAAATGTGTCAGCTCCTATATTGGCTGTATGATTCAGCTCTATTAAGTAAAAGGTGATAAAAATAATTTCTAATCTTCAGATGTCCCTACTTTACATGACATAACACATGAGTTTCCGACTGAGACATTTATTTTGAATTCTTGATTTTTTACAGATGTTTTTTTTTTTTCTCAAAGTGATCCTTTTTAACTTACATTCCTGAACTGTTACAATTACCACACTAGCGGTACTTTACATACACAACATATTTCCAAATTGCGATAACATGTTTTAAACATATACAAAATAAATCATCACTTATCTACACTTAATAAAATTTTGGTTGAACGTACTCATTTTTATTTCATCAGGTGTTCGGGCGAAATAAAATCATCTCGATCCAGATAGGTTTTAAGTCGAATATACATCTGCTTAAAAAATCTGGATACAGATGATTTCATTCTGCATGACCATTTGATGAAATAAAATTGAGCAAATTCCACAAACCATTTTTTTGCAGTGAAGTGTGTCAAACTGTGTTTTATGTATTGTACACGCGTATCTCTGTGCTGTGTTATTTTGGCAGGTGCAACTTTTTGGACTAACTCAAGGCACTTTGGCACTAGTGGTTCAGTCTCTCTACAGCGGAACCCTCACAACTCAGATGAGGAACTGGTGTTCCATTTGGAAAAACTATTTAGAAAATAACGGTGATGAAGTGACGAGGGGGCCTAAAGTCAAGTAAATCTAAAATAATCCACTAACATCTTTGGAAGAATAAAACATGTTTATCAATAACTCTAAATTCAAGTCAATTTTCAAGCTACTAAAATACACAGTATGACATTCACGTATTGAGAGCATTTGTTCTCAAATTTTGTCACCCAATGACCTGCATTTACCTTTCCTCCCAAAATCATGACCCGCATTTGTAGTGAAAGCAATAGAGAAGATGTTTTATTTAAATAGCCTCTGAAAATTGTGGTAAAGTACATTATAATTTCAAAAACCGTTTCAAAGAAGTTTGATGTATTGCTCGCCATGACATTCTCCGGCCAGAAGCTGAGCTGTACTGTTTTTGTTTACAAAGTAAACAAGTGGCTAAAATGTGAGGCGCGGCCACTTCTTATGTGTTCCATAGAGGAGCTTAAGGATCAAAATAAGAATCCGTGTAATTTTTCACGAACTGTCCGCAACCCACTTTTGGGTCCTGACACACCAGTTGAGAATCGCTGACTGAGAGTAACTTCAGATGATTCTATTTCCGTTCCACCTCATTTCACAGAAGCGCTGTAATTATTTTCGACAACGAATGAGTTCATCAGCAATGAAAAATGAACAACCAATATTGAGCAGATTTAGCAGCAACGTTGAGTAGGGGTGCAATTTATGATTATTTTGATAATCGATTAATCTATTGATGATTTAGTTGATAAATCAAATCAGATTTTTTTAAAACATGTTTTCATTTCCATGCCTTTATTCAAAAACATGGCATTGATTCAAAGTGACATAATTATGATTCAATTACTCTTTTGGTCTCTAACGTGTCAAAAAATAGGCAAAAACGTTGATAATGATTTTCCAAAATAAAAGCACAGTTTTAGTTTGATTGAACCCAAAAATAATCAGTGCTCGTTCATGGAGGACTGCAGAAATCAAATAACATTTACAATCAAGAAGCTGAAATTCTGAGCATTTGGACAATTTGAAAAAAAAAAAAAAAAAGGTTATCCAAATGATTCGACTATGAAAAATAGTTAGTGATACATTTCAATTTGTCGATTAATCATTGCACCTCGAAACTCCAGTATATTTTCAAGCGATTCATAAGTTCTGTATTGACATGCTCTCCGTGATAAGTCGTTCCTTAGTTGTTTTTCCCCCCCGCCCCACCTCAGCTTGTTACAGTTTTGACTCGAAGCTAACAATATCTTCAAAGCAATACATGTCTCTTTTGTACTGAAATCATCACATTTTAAAGTCTGTATAATTTAGCGACCTGAGTCTTGGCCAGGTGTTTCTCATTGTCTTATCACTTGCTTGTATTTAAGTTTCCTGGTTTTGGGTTGCTCTTGTCGGTTCGTTGTTGGAGGTCGAATTAGTGGTCTCTGTCGTCTCGAATCATTTCTAGCTGAGTCAAGTGGTTTCCCCTTGTGTTTCTTTGCAGTTTCTGTTGCGTTTATATTTTGACACTTCTGAGTAGCTTGTTTACCTTTTTGTTGTTTGAAGATTAAATTGTTTTTGACCACTTACTGCCTCTTTGTATTTGGGTCCTCATCCGTAACGAGCTGTGACAACAAATAACTTTCCCTACAAATGATAACTTGTGTATACAGTAGGCTTTCCACATACAGGTACGTTTATTTAGCAGTAAAATGCTTAAATGACTGCAATCGGTTTTCGTTTTTGAAGCAGAAACTCTTCTGGCCATCGTCGTCTTCCACTTAATGTACAAAGCCAACCAAACAATGTGTCCTAAGTATTGAGGGCCTGCACATTCAAATTAGGGGTCGAGCAGATTTAAATTACAACATACATGTATAGTGCTGAACCATCACACTTGGGCCATGTTCTTGTTACCCAAGTGACTTAGGTAACAAGAACATATTTGAGCACTCCACCTGGGGCTGGGGACACCACTCTTTTTCTTATGCAACAAGGTTGGCCATGACGACCAAAACAAAGCTTACACAGCAGTGTGAACAAATGCTGATCACTCTGATAACCACAATTACATATATTAGCACGACTATTTATTCCTTAGCTTTTACGTCTTGTACACAAGAGCGAGGGAATATTTAATCTGATAAAACGCTAGCCAAAGCATATTCTTTTCGATGACAAATTCTAGACTTTTTGGGCGGGAATAAAAAACGGACAGGTCTGGTTAATTGTGTCGTTAAATTTGGATTTCTGACAACTGTTCTGGCAAAATTTAATTAAAAGGTGATGTGCAGTAGTTTATATGACAGTTTTAAGTAGCTGCTTAATGTTTATATTAAATAAATAAATAAAAAACAAAAAAGAAGAAGAAGAAGGAAGGAAAAGGCAAAAATGACTGCACTTTAGAAGAAGCAAAAGTGCCGCCATCCTTGCATTTAAGGTATAGGACAGCCGTAAAACGACAAAATTGTGCCCAAACATTACAGACAAAACTATGTTTTTAATATTCTACAAATGCAGCCATAAGATCCGAATGTGGGCGGAATATGCCCGATCATATGTTGGTGTTTCGCAGAGATGTTTTATTTTTCAGTGAAAAACAATCACTGACTGATTGATGGAGACATCACAACAAACAGCTTTCCAAAAATTTGGAACTAAGACAAAAAAAAATTACAAACTTGAGTAGCACTGTGCCATTTGGGAATGAGTTGAAAAACAAATCCAGTTATAAAGAAATAAAATTACCTTCTCTATGAAAGAATATCGTTCATGTCCAGCCTCATGAGTCCGTCTTTTAATGCCAATGGTGTTGTCCTCCCTCTATGAAAAAAAAGTCCGATTGCTGTTTCTCTGAAACACATGAGAATAAAGGATGGGGCGATCAAAGAGGCGATTTCAAAATACTCCCTCGGATGCGAAAAGTAAGCGTCTCCGCACCCAAAACGCTTGTATGGTGTTTACGTGACGTCACGAGCCTCTTCACCACTGGGACTCTCTCCTGGGAGAATCGAGTTGACGTGCGGCCAGGCGCTACTATGCCCAAAATTGCCAAAAAAACAAAAAAGTATCATTACTGCGTTCTAAATCAGTGTTAGTTTACAAGGCACCTACAGTTGAAAATATATTTTTTTTCCTCTGATTAAAAATGATGCTAGTGTGAGGACAAAACGACATACAAAACGTTATCTTGCGCAAGATTTTATCCCATCTTGGTTTGATAAATGAAATCGACAATTAGACCTCAGAACATATAAAACAAAAAATCGAAAGTAATTTATATGTGCAGTATTTTACATTGTCAGTTGACGACGACGTACAAAATAGCCTTTTTGATCTTCTTGATGGATCTTCTGCCATCTTTTGGTCGATTCGTTTACTACAGTTCCTGAAAATCTGTATGTACTGTATGTATGTATGTATGTATGTATGTATGTATGTATGTATGTATGTATGTATGTATGTATGTATGTATGTATGTATGTATGTGTGTATGTATGTATGTATGTACAGTCCATCGGAAACGTGAAGACAGCTTTGATCAAATGCCGGATTATAGTAAATATATAAAATAGAAGATAGATAATAAATAGTTAGATAATAGATAGTAGATAATAGACCAAGAGAAATAATTCAAATTTTCCCATTGCTGTGCAACTAAACTGAAAAAAAAAAAAAAAAACACATTTTAGTGAAGCGGAATAAAAATACATCATTTATCGAGAAGAGAGAGAGACGGTATAGTTGCACAAGTGTACACACTCTCTTTTATCTGGGCATTTTCATGATTTTTTTTTTTTTGTGTGTTTGTTTGTTTTGATCTAGCACAAGCCTAAAGGTTTTGCACTAACACTGATTGTTTTTTGGGAGTGTCCCATTTCCAGCTGAAGAAAACAGCTCCAAAGCTACTGCCACCAACATGCATCATTATAGATATGGTGTTCTTTTGGTGATTAGCAGTGTTGTGTGTGCAACTATCCAAACAAGGACTTGAATTTATTTTTGTTTACAATATTGTACAGAACGTTATAGTGTTGTCACAAAACAAAAAGATTTAAATATTTTGGGCCAATACGTACAGATTGTACATTGATGCAGATACTGAAATGATAATATGGCAAAAACTTAAAAATAAGTAACACACAGTGGAATGACAGCTGACAGTGAATCAACTTCAAATCATTTTTGTTTGTGTTAAATCAGAAAATTCTGTATATATATATATATATATATATATATATATCTATATCTATCTATCTATATATATATAGATATATCTATATATATATAGATATATATATATATAT